CCCCCCGACATCCCCCGCCACCTGATTTTTTTTTTTCTGTTGTCTCCTCCCATACCCCAATCTCACCCTTCATGCTATCTCCACTCGTTCACCCCTCTTCTGTGTTCATCTCACTCCACCCACGGGTGATTTCCCCTCCTCTTTCTCCTCCCTCTTCCCTCTCATCCTAACCTATACCCGTTCTCCCTCTCGCCTCCCTCTTTCCCCTCCTCCACCTTTCCCCTCCCCTCTGTCATTAACTAGTATATAAGAGCATCACATCCCTCTGTACCTCTCTCACACACACAGTGTGTTTGCTGGGAAGGGGATATTTCAGGGGAAACTAGGAATTGCACAGTCCACCTGCCCGTCAAGGAATTATTTTCCTTTCTGGAATTTCCATTAAAGAGGTACAGCATTTACCTTCATATAATAACAGCAGGAAATATGCTACTACTAACATTTAGGTGTATGAAGGTCTTCTGGTAGTGTTTCCTGAAGGGTAATTTACATTACTGAACAACTGCAGCATTCTCCAGTGTATGGTGGTTTAAAATAACATTCAGTGAAGCATTTAACTCTTTTTTGATTGTAAAATGTTTGATGTCTTATTTGTTTATTTTTACTTAAAATGTGTCTATTTTTTTATACTGAATAAGTCTAAAAAGGTAATTTTGGGACTTATTCAAATACATAGTTATGAATTTAGTTGTGAACTGTTTGAAACAATTGTATGAACAGTCTGATAAACAGCTTCATGTATTTTCTTTATCTTTATTTATTTAATGTTTGGCAAATGTGTAATGTGCAAATGTTTCTGCACCAATAATAAAACATCATAGCTGTGAGGCATGGTAGAGGGAACATCATGGATTTGGGGCGTTGTGCTGCCCTAAATGGCCTGTAAGCAGAAATTTTACAGTTGTGTATGATGTCTGTGAAGGTTCTCAGTCATCCAGGTCATCATAGTCTTAGGAGCTTGGAAAGAAAAGCATCTGGACTTATTTAAGTTGCTGACGTTTCACCTCTCAACGAGAAGCTTCTTCAGTTCTAGGGTCAAATGGTGGAGAGTCCCAGATTTAAGCCCTTCTTCATGAGGCACAGTGGACCCCCTAATGATTCTCTACCTGCATATGATCTGAACCTTAGGAAATGCTCAAGTATCTATCTATCTAGCTATCTATATATCTATCATTGCTGCACAATAACAAATCTTTTTGCTTGTCTTTCATGTCTGGTCTTTTCCTAGATCTTGGATCAAAATCTTACCCCTCATCAAAAGCTAGTGATTTTTTCATTGTCACTTGATCTGCATAATATATTCCGGCCATCAGCATCACTTGTGAGCCAGATCAACACTGAACAAGGAAACCATGACCAGCAACTACAGTGTCACTCTCATAGGTCCTGCCCCCTGGGGCTTCAGGCTGCAGGGAGGAAAAGACTTCAACATGCCCCTCACCATCTCGAGGGTAAGATTAAAGTGCCCGTACACACATGCATACACTTAAATGTGGATAACCAGCATTGTCTTCAGGGTGATAAAACAGCATATATTTATTTTATGACAACACAACCACATACAGTCATTCTTCTCAGAACCCTTGTGCTATTTGTACTATCAAGATGTCTTTACTACCTTTCTTCATTTCTGTACCCCTCTTGACTGAACCCCTCAGCCACACCCAAGACAGCTCAGCTAAATCATATGCCATCTGTCATGTATCGACCACACATGAAACCTTTTCTCTCTTTCTTTACATTCCACTTCACGTTGAGTGTCTGTATTGAAATTGCAGCAATCAAAGTTCTGGCACACAAGTCTTGGCATCAATCCCTCTGCGTGAACAAGTAACTTGATGGTCCCCTGGTTTCCCTGCCTTTCAGTGTCTACTCGTAATATTACCTCTTATTGCCCCCCTCCCGTCGCTTCTGTTCATTCACACATCAGCGTTACCGCACGGTCACATCCACATATTCACAGAGTATGCTTTGCTCATTACTGTAACTGGATTGTGATCTTAAAAGACGCAAATCCTTCCTAATGTTGTTCAAGCTTCTGTTCTGCTCTGCTGCACTGTGCAGTGCCCTCAAACACACACATGTAATGCATTTACGCACACAAAAGTCACACAAAAGTCACCAAAACTGGCACGGTACAGACTTATAGCAACATGAGCCTGATGATGAATGGCTTACTAGGTTCTGTGCCAATCCCCTTTGGGGCCATTCTGGGTTGCCATGTTTGTGTTATTACTTTGGATGTGATACTTTTCCCACTAACTGAAGCCATGTGAATTTTTTAACCACGGGTTTGTGTGTGTATGTGTGTGTGTGTGTCTGAGAGTGCAGGCATGGACACAAAATGTTGGAAGACACTGTATGTAACCGAAAGGAAAAGACTAAAAGAATCCAGAAATAGAACATACAAATAGAAACAGACATCTTGTAAAATAAAATGCTACAAGAACTAATCTTGTATGAAATTAGTTCTTTTGTGTGAAGTTGGACTTAAAAAATAATGCATAATACATTGCAAACTCTGCATTCCAAAGAAACTGAAAGAAAAGATGAAGAAACTCTGATGCTGACATTGATTATTGAAGACTTAAAAATATGCAAGCAATAATTGGCGATCCCGTTTGACCTTTACTCCAACATCACAGTGAAAGTTGTGTGATTTAACAATTTAAGATGCCTTGCGAGCTTGTTTCGTTATTTTCCTTCTTTTGAGATTGCTTTGATGTTGAGATTTTCTTAAAAAGGTGTGAAACAACTATTGTCTGAATCCTACAAATACCAATAAATTGTAAAAGACTTGGGAATACTCAAACTGACTCAAGTGGGCTCCTTATTTAGCTTTGTGTCTCTAAAAGCAGATAAATGCAGATTAGCAGAGATGAGGTGGAGATGGGGGGTGGGGTATGGGAGGTGGTATTCAGTGCACGTAAATAATGCTGCACACAGTTTACACAAGCTGAACTTGAAGAAGTGATGGCAGGCAGTCAAACACGTGTCACTCAGCAGGTCATCTATCTACATGTGCTTGTCTGACCCTTTGATTTGTATCATACCTCTCTATAACTTCCTGTTTGTTTTTCTCTCTTGTTATTTAAATCTATGTGCTTCCTAATTCACTTTGTTAGATGTTCTTATGTAACCCTTATCTCACTCGACGTGGACGTACAGTTTGTAGTCATTCGTTTTAGAATCCATGCAACTCTTAATCTAATCAGCTCTGTTAAACTGGGTCTATGACGATAAGGGCAGTGCTTCTGACCGCCTATTACTGACACATAAACATATGTACCAGTGCACACACATATTACTCTCTGCCAATCTAACCATAGAGCTGGTTCTGAGAGGAGACCACAGAGTATGGGTTATTAGAGAACCCTGCACAACTGCCAGACCATAGTTACTCTTGCAGCTGCTGTTGCTAAGCTCTATAAGCATGTGAATATACAGTTTGTTTAATTTATGGCACTCTGTAGATGTAAAAAGTACCAGTATTCAATAGTACCACCATTGCATCATGGCATGTATGTCATGAGGTTTCTGCCCATTAGCTATTGTTTATGCAACTTGTCTTCACATCTTCTTATACCTTTATTTTTCTTTTCTAGTGTTTAAAACCAGTTTTATAAGGGGCTGAGACTGATGGTGCAGCTCTACTAAAGACCAGTGAAACACTTTACAATGGCTTCCCTTTTTGACATGTCTGGAGATTGCAAGAAGGAGGTTTAGATACATGCAGAAAGTGTGAAAAACATGGGTTGCAGCATACTCCTCAAGTACATTTATGTGTAGCTTGCTGCACCTTTCCAATATTATTTATTTTCTAAATAATTGTCATACACTGTAATGCACAACTGGGCAGTATAAGCCTTATTTACAGTGTTGCTAATGTGAATCCCTATTCCGTTATTTGAAATGGATTTCAGTAAGAGTGAATGGTTGAGCCCAACGAGTATCTGTTTATATGCTTAAAGAGAGTAATGGAAGCTGTATCATTATGGTTACATGCCTGTTTATATAAGAACTGGACTACCTTGCTCTTTTGTATAGCAAACATTTGGATTCAGATATCTAATAGATATCTCACTGAAAGGATTTTGGAGAAAATAGCTTGTGGAAAATCTCAAGCAAACCCAATTAAAGCCATTTACTGGAAAATCCATTTACTTCTTTTATTGATGTGAAGAGACAGAAATACCTACCAATGGTACTATTCCCAGTTAAATTTACAACTCAGAGAATAAATATTTAAACCTTTCCGAGGGTAGTCCATTTACAGAATCCACTGCTAAAATAATTTAAGGGAAAGCAACCCAGGAGAGGAGATGCATTAAGCCTCTAAGAATAGATACATCATCTCACAGGTCTGCCCTCACAAACACACCCACTTAACAGGAAGACTGGTCACAGAGCTGTACCCCTATTTCAAGCTGTACTTACTGCATTTGTGGGATCACAAAGACACAACAAATACAAAAGCAATGCTAGGATAGATTTTCCCTCCTTTTTTGTGAACAAAATTTATACAGCAGTGTATTGTGTGTCGATTATCTCATTTTTATATTGTATTTTTTTAGTAGAAGTCTTCTTCTTTCCTGCACATTACTATAATAATGGTGTGAAACGACTGGCAGTGTGTGTATGCCATCTTTGTGTATATGCACTAGATAAACATAGCAATCTGAAGAGTGTCTATAGTACTGGCAAAACTCTACAAGGTGTAAAAATATATTACACCTTGTAGAGTGTGCCAAATACACACACACACACACACACACACACACACACACACGCACACACACACACACACACACACATATATATATATATGTATGTTAGAAATATGTAACTGGATATGCTTGGTCTAACAGAGTGTATCCTTCTATCATAATGCTTAAATAGCGGGATTCTAGTTGTACAGTGAGTACATCAAAATGAGTAGACAGCCAATCTATAATAAAACATTTTCATGGAAGAATGCAGTTCCTGGAATTGAATCAGTGATGGCTGCCTCCTGCTTCCCTAGAGATGCTTTTCAACAGGCGATGATAACAGCTGACCACAGGGATGGGTCTATTTCAAAGGCGTTTTAGTTCTATACATAGTTTCTGTCTTTCTTCCCTTCCTCCTATTCCTGATTTAATATCTTCCTCCTACAGGACTTGTTCTTAAACTCACATCATCACCAGGGGCCTGCACTATGGAGAAAGTTCAACATACCCAAGATTTATTTTTGTTACCAAACCAAACTGCCCTGGCTGATAAAGCAGAGCTGCAAATCTATATATAAGCATATTTATCTATCCATTAACATGAAAGTCAAACTGAACCAAAAATTTCTCACAAAAAAAAAAAACTATTATTCTAAGCAAATGTGATAAATGGTAACTACAAAAAGATTTAAACAACACAAATGTTGGAGTAAAAGCCAAGATGGAAAGTTGGCAAAAAGATGCTGATTGTGTAAACACTTGGGTTATTAAGACAGCATTATCGAGAAACCTATCAGTTAATCACAATAAAACCAGTATTTTTATGTGATATCAAAGTGCAATGTCACAATATCAATGTTATATGAAGTATACATATGGTGTTGCACACCTCATTGATGACTTAGTAAAAAGTGAGCCACTTAAACAACTTCCAATAAAGCAGAGAATTTGCAAAACCACTTGTCTAAAAAAACACACAGTTGAGAACAACCAAGCTATGCAAGGTGGCAGTTTGTGATATGTGAGCTAAAAGTAAACAAATGACTCAATTGAGCATCAATGGAGCACTTGATAGTTAGACTCTAAAATGATAGGAAAAGCAAAACAATGGACAGAAATGACAGATTCCTTTACATGACGGTAAATAAAAGATTTAAGCAGCTGGTGGGGAAAAAAACACCCAAGACACAACATCCCAGGTGGAAAATATTTTTCAATTTCAGTTTTATTAAGTGACAGTATTATTATTATT